GGACAGAGAGCTCGGGATCAAACGATTTTCGGTGAGAAATTGGATTTCTCTTCGCTTAGCTTTGCCGAATACGATGAGATTGGCAATAACAGATTATCAGCTATGTTGACGACCTGAGTTTTTAAATGAATCCATAGTCAAGTACTAATCGCGCTTATTGCGAAGGCCAGCTGTCTCAACGCTTCTGAAACATGATAGCAGAAACCAACCCTGGACTTTCGCTGAAGAGGTGGTGGCATTATAGTCTTTTGGGGGAGTAAAAAAGTCCTTTCCCATTCCACAGAACCGCCAAAGCGCCCCGTCTTGCCTTCGTGATTCATGGAATCGTCTTGGTTGAAGGCACTCATTCGGAGGCGAGGCAGCAGCACGCATCTACAATGATGTAGAAAGCAAGCATATCTCCCACAGATGAGACAGCCTTAACAGTTTATAATCCATCAGGTCATTATAAGTCAGAATTACCGATTGGCGGGTGTTGCGAGTTCAGACTCTATAGCTATACGTCAAAAGATCGACATGTTGTTCCACTAACGCTAACATTTTAATAGTAATCGACAGATTTATTTTCCTTCCACATGGCCCTGTTCCTCTCTCAGCCTCTGCTGCTTTTCGCGCAAGTTCGCCAAGCAGGGTGCTTTGAATAGACTTTTGTTATACACGCCTTTAGCGGTGAGACAAGTCACCAAGATCCACAATAACACTACACAGATGGAGAATATCTGTTGTCGCGTTAGCTGCAGTGAACAAAGAAAATGGTTCTTGACTTTAACATACCGTCCCAAGCACCCGGAAGAAACGCGATGGCATTTCTCGGCCTAGCTGGCAAGTGCTGGTGGCATAGACCCCGAGAGGGAAAGTAAATGCCCACCAGCCGAGATTGAACGGAAATTTTCGAGTACGAACGATCGACGCAACAGCGAAGAAAAGCCAGAGTAGTCCGAATGCCCATAGGAGGAGTCCGATGAAAAAGCCAAGCATTTCGAATACGTCACCAGTTCCGGGTCGCAGGACGTCGGTTTTCGGGAAGATGTTTTGGGATACTTGGCCTAGTTTTTGGATGCTATCATCTCGTGTAAGTATTCAGGGCTTGTTTAAGATGGCACAAAACACACATACCCATAGCTGCCTTGTCCGAGAGGTCCAAGAGGCAGGAACATACTCACTAGGACCTCTTTTGGGGGTAACTTGTGCAACAACAGCCGCATGAGGAAAATGACTATTATCATCAATGCAAGAGGTACCCCAACCCCCCATAGCACGTAGCTGACAACGATTGTTCCGAGCGCATATTGGGGATCTGGTAATACTTCCGCGACAATGGCGCCGGATGCTGCGCACACAACGCACGACACAACGGGGAGTAGCCATGGTGCGCCCATTGCGGACAAGGCGATATCGGATTTCCGTGTCATCCTAAAGCGGTCAGCATTGTAAGTCCCACGCACCTTCAACTCAGGGGAAGCTTTTCTTACATGATAAACGGCAACACGAAGCACGTTAACACGGAAAACACGGCATCAGCGATCCACAAAGCCCAAGCAAAGTAACTCGCCCAGACTCCCCATGCAGGTATACAGACAAAGCAGAACATGTTGATGATCGTAGCAAGGCCCATAGGGAAGGTTCCCAGGAACATTGACTGTGCTGGATGTGTGACCATAACTGGGAATATTTCGGGATATAAGAGATATCGAAGGGCTGTTATAAGTAGGAAGACGAGGAATAGCAGCACATTAAAAGCAAAAAGGACTACTGATATCCAGTAGATCCATTGTCCATTGTACGGCAATGTATTGAGAAGGATTGACGCGATGCCAGTTCCCATGTTTGCCGAAAACCATCTATACTTCAATCAGCCATTGTCAATCACAAAATGAGTATGATGGTAACTGAGCTGACACCTACGCCGGAGTGAAATTCCGAATGATATAACGCCAGCCAGTCTCATGTTTTGAGAGCTTGCGATCTCTCCCTGCTTGGCCTCCGTTTGCTAAGCATCTTTGCGATGCTGTATCTGTGGTTTCCTGGGCCATCGAGGCTACGGAGGGCAATATGGTCTACCAAGCCAGGGTAGCTCGTACGCGATATTCTTATATTCTTATGATATTTCATCCTTTCGGTACACGGCAAGCGGGCAATGAAAAAATTTCTATATGGTAATGGTTTTGTGTTTGCGGGGACGTGCAGCCCTGCCGAGACAAAGTCAGTCTTCATTACCCTATACTCACGCATCCAACGTAGGATATTTCGTTAGTCGGCCGAAAAGGCTACACAGAACAGTGATGAAACCTGGATAATATTTAGTCGCCGTCCCTGTTAGTCCATCGCTCAGTCGGCGACCGCGCATTCCCGAGCGGCGACCCACATCCAACCATTTTAGGGCTTGATGAACCATAGATCCCTGGATGAGCAATCGGCGATTGACTTACCCCGGCTTTCTTGCATACGCCTCGCCACTCAGAGCTGCAGAAGGATATGTCAGGTAGGATAGGGCTGATTTGTTCATGTAACGAAGCATGTGTACCCCGAATGACCCTTCTCGGTCGAGTGCTTGCCTAGCAAAGGCCTCCGTAGGTAGCCGTATATTAATGAACCAAGAGCATCATGGGTGCCTCCAGTGGACTTACAGCGCAGCTTGCAGCTCTGAAACCACACATTAAAATAACTGCACTCAAACTTTACCACGACTATGGAACCCACTGTGCATTCGATCTTCGAGAAACGAACATCCACCTGGCAGTATATTGTGGCATGCCCAGAAACGCGCGAAGCAGTCATTATCGACCCGGTACTGGACTATAGCCAGGAGCACCTAACGATCAATACAACCTCCGCCGATAGCCTTCTAGATGTGATCAATTCACACAACTACAAAGTAGTCCGCCTCCTCGAGACCCACGCTCATGCCGATCATCTTACCGCAGCTTCTTACCTCCAATCACGACTACAAGCGCATGGTACCAAAGTTCCTGTGTGCATAGGACGAAGGATTCGCCTGGTCCAAGACACATTTGCGAAGCGATATGGTGTCCAGGCTGATGAACTAGACCATGCGTTCGACCATCTACTAGCGGACGATGAGACCTTCCCTATTGGCAACCTCACAGCAAAAGTCCTACATTTGCCGGGCCATACCCCCGACCATGTAGGCTATTTCATTGGTAGCAACGTGTTTGCAGGCGACTCTATATTCAATCCGGACGTTGGTAGCGCTCGCTGTGATTTCCCTAACGGAGACGCTGAAGCTTTATATCAATCTATGCAAAAGCTGCTCGAGCTCCCTGCAGAGTTCAAACTGTACACCGGCCATGATTATCCGCCATCTACATCGTCCACGAGTCGAGAGCCCATGCCTTTTGCGACCGTGAAAGAGCAGCGAGAAAGAAATAAACACGTAGCAGGGAGCCGTGAGGAGTTTGTTGCATGGAGGCAGACCAGAGACTCGGGTCTACAGGAGCCAAGACTCCTTCACCAGGCTTTACAGATCAATATTCGCGGAGGAAAGTTGCCTCGGAGCCCCGATGGTAGCCGGAGGATCTTCCTGCAGGTTCCTGTTACATTGCCGGAGAGTTTGGCTTAGTTGAGCTAGTGTACTACCTTGCGACCATTTATATATGGTATTTCGGACTTTTCGATGTCAAATAAATGGGTGTGGTTACATCTGTGTACGAACACGTAGCAATCGGCATGTTGTGTGGAGAAGAATTAGATGTCCGTGAGATGAAAGATTGCTAAGTACTGCCAGGGAAAGTAAGAGATGATACCGGAACTCGCCGATACAACGATCAATAACTGGTCACTGTGACTTAAACTAGTTATTATTGCCCAAAAGAATAGTACATCTATCAGCGTGGTTGTGGTGGTGGGTGATACTCATTATTTCTCCTGATTTTGGCACGAGGTAACCTTAGGCAGAGAGCAGAAAGGTGCATGCAGTATCTCTAAAGAGCCAATGTTGTGCACAAGTATATTTCGAGAGAACCAAGATAAACTACCGAGACTTCGGTTAGAGGGTAAAAAAGCATACACAAACCAGCGAAGTCAGACTTGCCTTACAAATCCCTTGGTCCAAACCTCAGCCGGTAGAAGCCAGTTTGAACTTTGCCCAACAGCACTGCTCAAGAGAATCGAATCATCTACATACCACTCCTACTTGGTTTGATGTGGCTGATAGGGGTATAATATGCTAGTGAGTTATTCCGAAGTTATCATCGAGAAGCGCCAGCCCTGAGCGCTAGTGGTAGGTAAACTGGGACACGCGACGTTTAATGGGGGACCTCTGGCTCATAACAGGTGCCCTGAGCGATATACAGGCTATTCTACCTTGAAGTAGCACCGGCTTGAAATCAATAGACCGGAAGTGCCTTCCAAGGAACTCGTGACACTTGGTTTCACGCGTCAGCAATTACCTCTTCCTTAGATGAGTGAAAAGGACAAACCAAAGAGGGACAAGACGTGCAGCGAAAGACATGTCATTGAAGGAGATCAAAGAGACTTACGAGACCTTCGACTTCATGTAAATCATCAATTACAGGATCTCTTCGCATTTATAGCACTCGATTGTCCAGCAGACTAAAGACGTCTTCGACCTGTCAGCCGAGTCTCAGGAAAGGCATGCCTCAAATCCGATGTTATATGGAAAACTAACCTTACGAATGCCGTTGTGAGCAATGGCGACAACACATACGTCCGGATCCTTCACTGCGAGTTCCAGCGCGGTATCGGCTCTCTTGATGTCAAGATAGGGCCATAAAGACAATACAGAAGAAAATGAGATTTGAATGTGACGGGTGGTGGACCGAGGCACGCACAGTGCGATCGTGGATCTGATTTTACTTGCCACTGCGCGGAGCAACAATCCCTCCGGCGGACACGCGCAGGACACCATTATGACTATACGACATACACTCCAGAAGCCTTAATAATGAGTCGAGCTATCAGCGGTGATTCCGCATATTCAAACGAAAGCAATCACTTTTGATCTACATACCGCCAGCATCATGTCCACGACCGTAGGCCGCTCGTCAGCGGCATTCTCAAAGGCCTCCGGATCGTTAGTGACCATTAAGCCTACTCCTCACTCTGACGTGGTACTGATTCCTCTATGATTATGTAGACGCTGCAAGGGTCCGACCACCCAGGTTGAATTCGGAGAACAAAAGGTCGATGTCCCTAAAGGCGGTTACTACGACCGATATCGCATGAACCCAAACCTCGACGAGGTCGCCCGCGATCCAGCTGTCGGACCTGATATCGACTTCTTCCGGAACACCCCAAAGAAGCTGGTCGATTCGAGGGTGGGAAGAATATACGCACCCAACTTCTATTATCGCACTAGCAGCGTCCAGCTCGTCTTTCTTGCGCCCCTAGACCGCTTGCAGTCGAAGCTCCCGTCACCATTAGAGCCCATTACAGCATTGCCCGGTTACGGTTTGGTTGCCTTGACGTTCTACTCGTACCTTGTCTGCGACAATGACCCTTACAACGAGGTCTCGATCGCCGTCATCGTCCGTCAGCCCGGTCAAAATAGTTACAGTACGACCCAACTCCTCAGCTCCGTATGGAACCGGACCTTCTACGGACACGTGTTGGCTCTACCCGTCGATACCGAGATCGCTCGAGTACGAGGTGTATACGGATACCAGTTCCCCAAATGGCTCGCCAACATCAATGTGGAGATGGACGACCACAACATCAAGGCTGAGTTGACTGCGACCGATGGGACACCCGATTTGACCCTGGACGTACCCCTTCCGGCCTTGAGGACGATCACATCCCAATCGTCGATCGGGACCAACATCGCGATCAACAAGATTGACGGGAAATGGTACGAGGTGGCAGTTCAGACCAACCCACTCCTGGGGGCACAACGTCTTCTCCCTGGGAATGTCACGCTCTCTCGGAGTGAAGGTCCATTGAGTAAGCTGCTCAACGAATTGGGCGTTTCGACCATCGTACGGATGGACGTCCTCAAGGATGCGCAGATGGTCTTGAACATGCCCACACCCTTGGAGGCATTCCATTAATATCAAGTCAGATGAGATCGTAGTATCTATAGAGTGCATGTATCAGAGTTTTCGCCTGACAGGAATTATACGGCGACTATAATAAGTTCCCTTGGAGGAGAATGTATTTAGTACTCCACGTGGGAATTTTCGCGGACCTAACAGGGAGTAAGGCATATGAATATATAGTATATAGGGTTCTTCAGAACTCGTTTAATTGTGCCTTGTATTGATAAGTAGATACATATACAAAAGCTTAGGATCGATTGGCTCCAACGATTTCTCTTTTCTTTGCTTTCCATCCTAGGAGATCTCTAACACCGAAGAAGGCTTGTGCGATCCGGCTACCGGGTCGTCTACTCCAGGGTGCCTACTAACCAGGCAGTGGGCGACGGCGTTCATTAACGGCTGAGGGCGTCCACGACCTTTTTCGCGGTCTCAGTAGCGGACCCAGGGTTCTGCCCAGTTACCAGGTTGCCGTCGACCACGGTGTATGAGACAAATGGCAGCTTGGCCTTTTTGTAGTCGGTGCCGCGCTTCTTCAGCTCTTCCTCGGCGTTGTAAGGCACAAGCTTGTCTACACAGGCCAGGACTTCCTCCCGCCAGGAGAACCCGGTCATCTTGTGCCCGGAGACCAAGTAGGTACCGTCTGAGCGCTTGGTGTTGAGCAAGCCACAGTAGCCGTGGCAGACCGAGGAGACGATGCCACCCCGTTCGTAAATCTCTCGCGTGATCCGCTGTAGGCCCTCGTTGTCCAGGAAATCATACATCACCGCATGCCCGCCCGTGAAGTAGATCGCGTCAAAGTCAGCCGAATTGATCTGGTCGGGTCTGGCAGTGTTTTCCAAGAGTGCCATGCGTGCCGGATCGGCTCGCCACGCTTTCGCGGTTTTGTCGTAGTTTGGGAACTTCAGCGACCGCGGCTCCAGGGGGCAGAGCCCCCCCGCCGGGCTGACGATGGTCTGCTCGAATCCCTGCTCCTCAAATACATGCCAGGCGTGCGTGAGCTCAGACAACCACAAGCCGGTCGGGTGGGACGGGTCGTCGTAGTGCCCGACGTTTGTGACAACGTTTAAGATGCGCTTGACCATAGTTGTGAACTAGTAGGTTGTATGCTGTACGCTAGGACTGATAATTTCGCCTGCATCCATCGCCATTAATCAAGTCCGACGGGCAGATTATACAGGGTATTAGGGTTGAACCCCCTGAGTACTAGTACTCGTGGCGAACGGGACAAATGATCTACCCAACATTACGTGTATTATAATGGTTGCTCGGATAGTTTGTTCATCCGCGTCCGTCCGATCGACATTCAGTTCTTCCTACATCTTGCGCCAAAACAGAGCTTAATTTGTGGGTTCTGCTGCTGGGTCCACCAATCTCAATTGTCCCTCTCAAATCCGAGCCAAAGTCTCGTCACAAACGAACGAACGAAGCGAGCATTTCTCCCAGCGTTGAGTCTGGACCCTATTGCTCCCTCTACAGCTTGGAAAGGAGCCTCATAACCCCGACCCCGGCCACAGGATGATCATCTGCAATAAATGCCCGGGATATGTATCCTCCATACCTGGAGAGTCTATATTCGAGTGGTCAAAATTAAGAAAAGCCCGGTACCCCAACACATACCAGTAGGATCGTTTTCGCATTGTTGTGTTTCCTGGCTATAAAATCTTGTCCTGTGATTCTTGCCAGTGTTCTCAATATCAAAGCCGTCCTGAAAGGAGTAATGTACCACACAGTCTAACAGACAAGTCGACAACTTTGATGTTGTTGAAAAAGTTATTCCAAAAATGAATAATATTCTAGGGATACAGAGTAAATCTACTATAGTACAATTACAGGATGATTATTTCTGTTAAAATAATAATGCTCCAAGTTAGAAGGCGACAAAAGAAACAATTAAGCCTCTAAACACCCATCCAGTGTACAAGAAACGGGTGGCGGCAAGCTTCTGGGCCGCGGAGGGCTAGTCAGTCGCAAGGTACTTAGTACTCTCCAAGGGGGAATTCCCGTAACTTACAACTTCCAGGGATTGATTTAGGATGCAACTGGTGCCCTACAGGCGTGGAGGAAGTATGGTTTTTGGTAATATTCAACATCCCCATACCGGCGCTGAGATGCCGAAAGGCGAGTTCCCACTGGAAACCACACCAAAAATGCCTATATCGTACTCCAAGTTTTGATCAGCATATATCTACGTCTAGCTGACAATATTTGTGCGCGGTTATGTCTAGGGCTGCATTTGACAGCGGCGATGCATAGCACAGTGCGACACACCATGATATCAATAGAGGTCATTACCAAGGCGCATGTTGATCCAGCCTGGTTATATAATAATGGATGTTGATAGGCCTGGGCATATAATGGTTCGTTATGACTACCGGACTATTGCCTATGTCGCGATTATAAGGCTTGAGGTTAGAACCGTGTTTAAGGAAGAGTAGCTTATCCCAATCTATTAGCTTTGCTAGAGGTTTAGTATTGGTATTGGTAACTAATAATATGTCTATAACTATCTACCGCCCTACTTAGTAATGATTGATAGGCAATGAACTCGCTATAAGTATCTATACTTTAAGTAGGTCATTTTCTTACTCAGGGCTTCACCACATTTCAGCGGGGGTCTCAATATCGATGTTTCCTGGAGAAATCACCCAATACCGGAGTACTTGCTACCTTCCCAGTGACTTGTCAGAAGCGCGGGTACCCTGGCTGTCATACCCCTATACATCAATGCGAAGCGTTCCAGTCGGTGCGAACTGTATATCCATTTAGTGGCGTGGTGATGCGTCTGACGGCTTTGCATAGGATACGCAGGCGGATTGATAATTTCAGTCTCAGCCACGTATTATTCATTCTTGCCCAGCTTAACAAGTAATACCTTACCGTATACCCCCTGAGATTAGCTGCTATGATGTATCTACCCCTCATAGTACATGGCCAGGGCTCAGTGTGTCAGGCATTATAAGAAGGCCATATCCCGTCGAGACGTGTAGTCCACGATTCTTCCACATAAAAGCACAAATCAAGTGAGTGTGGTATGGCAAAGACGCCCTGAGTTGCACTGACCTGATTGCTCTATCCAGGATTATCCAAGAACAGTCTGCCCAGGACAGCTGGATCTGCAATAGAGCGCTCCCCCTACCTGCTACCCTCCGTAAGTGATAGAAGACTTTTTGCTGCAGTAACAGTTCACTTTATACACATGCCGATGGAGTATTTGAACCCTTACGTAAATTAAATGCGGAGCCTGTGCTGTCCATGGCTTGCCGGCCAATTTTCATTAGGGTAGTTGTGTACCGTCTATACATATCTAGATGGACCACTCCCCTGTTAATAAAGGCATACCAAAACCAAAAAACAAAACTACTAAGAATCGTGCACGTATTTATGTGAGAACACGTGCCAGATTATGTGATATGGTCAGAGTCACGGGACACCCTCGTATGGACTGTCCGAGTGATGTCATACAGGAAACCTTCCACAGGAACAGAGAAAGACATTGAAAGAGTTACATTCAAGTACACTCAGCAGTCTCTGTACTTGGTTTGTATAGGAAACCAATGGTGGCTATCCTGAACTACGTACATGGTCCAAGCCATACACAGCTCTCACCAATTATATATCTTTGAATCTAACCCGACCACGGAAAATGGCCGCCACATCTCCAAACTACTGCAGTATTGAAGATTATGGCATCATCGGGGATATGCACACATGTGCCCTGGTGAGCAAGAATGGTGGTCTTGACTTTATGTGCTGGCCAGCGTTCGACTCCCCATCCGTCTTCTGCCGCGTCTTGGATAATACCAAGGGCGGCCATTTCACTATCCGCCCGGCAGGAGATATCAAACCCATGAGTAAGCAACGATATAGAGCTTGTACAAACGTCTTAGAGACACGATGGATTCACGAAGATGGGGTGATTACGCTATCAGATTACTTTCCTGTCTCAAGCAAAAAGCCATCTCGTGCGCGGGATTCCGCGTCACCCTGGTGCTCCTGCGAGACGGCTGCCGATGGCACTGAGGGGGCGGAATGCCACTCGGGAGTAGTCAGGAAGGTGGAGTGCGTTCGTGGTCAGATGGAAATGGTTGTTGAAATCTTCCCTGCGTTCAATTATGCGCTTGAGCAGCATACCGGTCGATGGGTAACTCATGGCGATGCCGGCAGTCGGCTGAATGAATATCTGTTCGAGAGTGCTACGCAGCGCCTGCAGCTCAGTATTCTCACTAGCCCCGATCCATCTGGCGAGGGATCGAATGAAACTCCCAAGATCACATTCGAGATCCAGGACAGACCGGGGATGAAAGGACCAGGCGTGTTTATGAAGATGAAAGTGCTGGAAGGACAGGCCGCAACATTCGTGTTACACGACAGAGAAAAGACTCTTTTGGACGCGAAATCTCTGGAATCCTACTTGAACACACTGGAGCGTGATACTGCTGAATTTTGGGCCATGTGGATCAATCAGTGTACCTTCCGAGGGCGTTATCGCGAGCAGGTAGAACGAAGCCTGCTGATCCTTAAACTACTAACGTACAAACCAACTGGTGCTATTGTTGCATCCCCGACCTTTTCCCTCCCCGAAAGTATCGGCGGACCGCGGAACTGGGACTACCGGTACTCTTGGGTGCGTGATGCTGCGTTTGTGGTCTATGTTTTTCTCAAAAATGGATATCCGAAAGAGGCAGAGTCCTATATCAATTTCATCTTTGACCGGGTGTTTCCACCGGCGAACGGTGAATCTCAGACCAACAGAGCGTTCCTCCCGATCATGGTAACAATCCACGGAGAGCATGAGATCCCCGAGTCTGAGCTTGATCACCTGGAGGGATACATGGGTAGTAAGCCAGTACGAATCGGGAATGGAGCCGCCAGCCACACTCAGCTAGACATATTTGGAGAGCTCATGGATAGCGTCTACCTTTACCATAAGCATGGGCGTCCTATTTCCTATGACCAATGGCTCGCGGTGAGACGGATGACCAGCCACGTGATGGGTGTGCTCCATGAAACGGACAGATCCATCTGGGAGGTACGAGGGAAACCGCAGAACTTCGTATATTCGAAGATAATGCTCTGGGTTGCATTAGATAGAGCCCTGCGATTGGCAGAAAAGCGCTCGAACTTACCATGTCCGGATCGAATCGAGTGGCTACGAGCCCGAGATGATCTCTACGATGAGATAATGACGAAGGGGTACAACTTCAAAGACAAATATTTTTGCATGAGCTACGAGAGCCCGGATACCCTGGATGCAGCTGTTCTGATTGCCCCGCTTGTCTTCTTCATTGCGCCAAACGACCCTAGGTTCCTGAACACACTGAAAAGAGTCATGCTACCCCAGGCCAAGGGAGGACTATCGATGGCCAACATGGTCTCTCGGTACGATCACACCAAGGTTGATGATGGTATGTTCTTTGCGATTCACTCATATTTATGAACAGCTCTGCTAACCGATGGATCACAGGGGTCGGAGGTCGCGAGGGCGCTTTTGTGATGGTCACCTTCTGGCTAGTCGAAGCCATGATGCGTGTTAGTACTCCCTCGCTTGCAGCTTGTGGAAGTGGCTAACGAAACTAGGCCTCGAAAGCAATGTCTTACAACGTCGATGACCCGTTGTACCGGGAGCTGCGAAAGTTGGCGATGACTAACTTTGACAATATGCTTTCCTTCGCGAATCACCTGGGCATGTTCTCCGAAGAGGTGGCCATATCTGGAGAGCAGATAGGTAACACTCCGCAGGCATTTAGCCATCTGGCTTGTATTAGTGCAGCAATGAACCTGGGCGGAGTGAACTGAGGGTTCTTTTTATCATGCAATTTGTCAATATCACAGGCGGGTTCTGCTCATTGTATGTATATGTTGATTTAGGTATGTATGTAATTAGCACTATTAGGATGAAAAAGAAGCTGATACAAGTCGAACCGACAAGGCTAGAGCTAGTAAGATACGTATTCGACAGCAACTGACAATTTCGCCACATCTTCCATCAATCAGCAAGAACGAACAAATTCAAGTAGCCGTAATCACCGCACTTCCATCAGGCACCTTGCGTGATATTCTAACGCCATCCGTACATCCTTGCCAGGCGCCAATCTAATAAACCACTTGACTTCACCATTTCTCATCATCACTGCCTTCCCTCTGCCCCTATCCCTTTCCAGCGGCATATCCACCTCACTGCCTTCCTTCTCCAAGCCCTTCGGCTCTAGTACCTGGATGCGCATCTGTTCATTGTCCTTGAGCGGAATCTGATCCGAAACAATCATATCAATTGCTGTACTCTTCGTATTCTTTACCCAGCAACTTCGACGAAATACTGCAGCTTTTTCCTTGCTGATATACCCAGAAGCAAGCTTGCGAACAGTCGGCTTGGCATAAGTCACCAGAACATTTGGGTCAACCCCGAGGGAAATATTGAAGAAATCATTCGGTGCACAATTCGGCAGCGTAGACGACCCCAAGAAGGTTCCGTCAACGGATATGCCAGTCTTCCCGCGCAGGATATTGACTGACGAGGTATTCTTAACTCTGGCACGTAGGAACGCAGCGGCACGTATCTTGGGAACAATCACATGCGTTAGTGTCAGAGACTGCAGGGTCGACTGAGCAATAAGATGGCGCCGATGGCTGGTGGAGGGAGCAAGTGTGCGGAGACCAGAAAGTTCATAGGTTGTGGTCAGACCGTAGTTCTGTGGAACCGAATCCTGTCGCTCCAGGCTGGGTGACGCATTAGTTTCAGCGTCGCTGCCACTGTCATCGGCTTCCTCATTATCCTCATTACCCTCACTAACACCCCATCCCAGTGCTCTACGCGCTGAGGGGACCCATGAATGGCGGGAATCACGCGGTGTGGTTCGCGGTTCTCTGCGTGCCACAACCCCCCGGGCTATTGGGGCTTGTTGTGCCATAGCCTGTTGGGCTAGAGCTTGTTGTTGCAGTTGCTGCGCGTTCTGTACTGCGCCGGATTCTTGTAGACTCCTTGCGTTCGCTATCATCTGCGCGCGAGCGCGTGCTTGGACATCAACGGTCGCGGGATACGAACTCATGTTGGTCGCCATAGCATTGGGGTTTATCTCAGCTGGGCTTCGTAAGACATCCTGCCAAGAGATTGATTGAGGATCTGAAATCGAGCAGGTTGTGACATGCCAGGGCTGGAGAATGGGAATTGGCTCATCCAGACCCGAGAAGGCTGCATGAGAGGTTGAAAGAGTGATCTTAGCGTCTTTCCAAGTCTCCGAGCAGTTATTCTGAAAGTCCGCGTTGTAGATCAACGATGCGGTGGAAGCCGGTGTATTGATCTTCAAGTTGTACCGAGGCGCCCAGCTCGGGCCAGGAACGATATACGTCAGGTTCATGGTCACTTCAATCGGCTGGCCACCATATGTAGCATTCTCAGTTACCGAGCTCCGGCGACTGGACTCCGGAGTGGCCGACACATGCCCATCCAGGTAGACCTCGACTTGACCGACGCGATCTTTCCAGAATTGCCGTTTCTCGTTGATATCTCGCTTTTGCTGAGCTCTTCGCTCCCGTCGCTCCCTCACGCGCTTCTCGCGAGCTCGCCGAGCGTCCTTCAATGCAGCCTCCTTGGCCTTAGTATGGGCTGATTCCAACCGCTCCCTCTTCCGCTTAACTCGCTCAAGCACTTTCTCACTATCAACAATCTTAACCTCCGTATCCCTCGCGCGATCCCCTTCCGTCTTCCTCTGCTGAAGATACATTTGCAGGAAATCATTCAGCTTAGCTGGATCAGAATTAGTCGAGTCAATACTCTTCCCATAGCCCACAAGAAACTGCAACACAAACAGCGACGCAGATTTATCATCCTGTGCCTTGGCAATAGAGGTGTTTAGGGTCTGCTCTTCTTTCAGGATAGCCTGGAGCTCAGAGTCATCGATATTGATACCTTCTTCGTCGGTCGTCATGTCCTGATCGATATCACTTTCCTCATCGACTGTGAGGTCAGGATAGACGTCATTGAATTTCTCGCGTCGGGGTACGACATCTGTTTGCATGTCTGTTATGATAGCAGGGCCGGAGCCGTCGATTTGGACAGAGTCCAGGTCCACGTTAGGATCTAGCCCTTGGATTGTGATTACATTTTGGCCTGGCTGGTACATCTCTTAGAATATGGTTGGATAAGGTATAAGGTCCAAGACTTACATGAATAGTAGTATGGATCTCACGGGTGATTGTTGCCCTCTGGGGGGTGAGTATGACCGATTTGGTCGGGAGGTTGGAGATTTGGATCTCCGATTGATGGGGATCAGCCATGGTTGGCAGACAAGGCGAACATGGGCATGGGAGTCACAGAAGAACAGTGTAACAAAGTAAGGAAAGCTGTCCAGACACTGTTCGAGGAACATCGACGTAACTGCTGGGGATACGAGGGCTTTAAATAAACAACAAGGCAAGGCATCCGCGGGGTGAGCCTTAGCATTGGGTTGCACAACGTCACACTGGCTGACTCATCCGGCTGTGCACAAATGCACGTGATCGATATACAAAAATAGATTTGGCATCAAACTTGGTGAATGGCACGATGGCATGGTGGTAGGTAAGTGGAATCTCTTGACTGACAGGTGAATATCACTAGAACCGACATAGCAAAATGGTGAAGTGGTGTTTTATCTCTCGCGAGGTCAGCATAATATCATTTCTAAGTTTAGTACACCGTTCGAAGCCATACTTCCCGATTTATATATTAAGCTAATATCAGTAGGGTATTAACACTAGATTGAGTATTTATGAAGTCTGGTATTGAAAGGAAGGTGAGCTAAACTGACTATCTAACATAGACTGATTTAACCTATTTGTCTCGATGGCTGTTATTTACAGCGATGCATGGCAGGCTATGGAAAGCCAGGTGTAGGGATATAAGGTGCGATAATGGCTTGCTTGAGTCTTCTTCTTTTACCCCGCACTGGTAAATTTACATAAATACTAAAGCTTTAAAAGCGTGAGAGGAATAACCGAACGCATTGCACTATGTGTAACCGGCCACCAGGACGGACGGCTGCTAGATGCTATCTCAAACGGATCGTCTCCTTATTCTTCATCCACTCTCCCATAGTATCAAAGACCTCTCCTTGCATAATGCCATCAACAACACTGGGTCCGATATACTTCCGGTGCACGCCATCCTCGTGCCGAGATACAACCTGCGGAAGAGTCGCTCCCAGAAAGACACACACCGTGTCTCCAGATTTAGTGTGACATGGCACTATAGCCATACGGCCGTTGTTGGTAAACGCAAAGCTTCTGCCTGGCCATCGAATCATTATGAGATTGAGATAGCCCCGCCAGAAGCGATGCTGGTCGAGAAAGTATTCCGCCGTGTTTAGGTTGACAGGGCGTGGATCAGCCCCATCTTCATGGTTTTCGTTTGCAGCGAGCTCTAGGAATGTGACAAAACTGCCTAGAACATCACCGTCAGGGCGCCCAGAGAATTCGGGTGATTCGAGCCAGCCACAATGGCCAATTAGAACCCCAAGGAGGCGTTGGCGACTGTCAGCGTCGTGGGGAATGTAAGCCAGGCAATCCTTCAGAGCTCTCAAGATGCGATGTGCATGAAAAACGTTTGAGCTCTCGCCAAACACCTGGCTGAGGGGAACGACATCTTGGATTGTATCCACATACAAGCCAGCAATACACAGGATCCCTTCATCGCTGTTGTTGGCCGTAAGCGACAGGTTCCCAGCGGTCGATGGGAGGGACGTTGCAGCCGGTCTTCCGGCCTTACAACCCACGACGGGCAGATAGCGGTAATTCCAGCCGCTGCCCCAAGGCGGGCACCATGAAGGGATACCTACGTGAGGTGTTGTTGGAGGAAAGCGTAATGATGGCCAATCTCTGACCCTCTCCAAGCATTGGCGGAAGAACCTGGCGTGAACGATGCCGTAATTCTGCTTGGCCTCATCGGAGTAGTCCACCACCACCTTCTCACGCATGGCGTCTGGCAGCATGTCGCGAACTGCATAGACATAGTCTACCTTCACGGAGGCGCCCTGGCTCTGCATGATGTCCATCATTGCGTAAAGCCCCTCGATCTCCTTTTCGGCCTCCTCCAACCCATCTTTCAAACGGCATGAGCTCCGGATGAGTTTGATCCCATTCGTCGACCGGCTTACCTGATCCTCACCCATCGCATCAACGTGCAAGCCGGCGATATTGCTGACGAAAAAGGATTTTGACGCGGCAAGTGCAAAATTCACCACAACATGCCATTCGACCTGCTGCGCACCGCATAAAAAAACACACTGGGGCGCCAAAACGACTTCCTGAACAATCCAGAGTCGCTGAAACCAGGGCCGACTGTAGAGCAGCAGAACGGCGCGCCAGAGTTGATCATCAGGATGCGGAAGGCCTTGCGTTACGATCTCGTCCGTGGTTAGCGGTTTCCATCCTGTGCTCTCTTTCAGCGCCCAGATCTTTTCCGTAAGTTCGGGCAACAGCGAACACGCCATATCGCTCTCGTCAGCGGCGTCTCCTAGCCAGATCAGGACTTGGTCCGCGCAGGAATACAGCTCTCCCATCCCCGCGACCTGGTGCGCCTTTTCCTCTGCGTCGCTTTGATTGATGCATATAGCATCCACCCATATCCATCCCCCGCTAGAATGTGCGTGGATTCCGCGCAGCGCTTGACCCAGTGTATGGGAGATGCGGAAACGCGCACCGTTACAGACACTATCTTCCATCTCCGGTGAGGTACCCCATGCGTACGACAGGGCTTCATACACGGGGGCCTCATAAATGGAGAATGTCTGCAGGCTGAACTTAACCTGAGGTTGTACCTCCTCAATCCTGATGACACGGAATTCATCGGGCTTGATGCAAGAATAGACGTGACAGGGTATGTCCTGCTCCATTGCCACTTTTATGATATCCTGTGGGGGCAGAAAGAGATGGATCTTTTAGATAGCACCACCCGTCCGATAACGATAATCATCAGGGTGGACGTTCCACTTGGCGGGATCTGAGTGGATTGAGGCGATGCCAGCCTCTTCAAGCTAGTCTAACTTGTCAAGGCTTAGTGGTGTGCGTGATAACTTCGCAGCCCAGTGTGTGGCGTCTCGGCTTACGTGTTTTCTTTTCGCTCCTTTTCATGCCAACACACTATATAAGATTTAAAGTAAAGCTTGAGATATGCAGCTTCGCATAACTTATTCAAGCCAAGTTCATTATATTAGAATTGTCTCGTTGCCTTGGGGTAGCTTTTCTGGCCATAACTTACTGCTGCAACATCTCAATACCGCTAGTCTGGTATTGTAGGCCCCTATATTCTACAGGCTTTTTTGTATAGTTACAAGGGAAGGGCGAGGCTCTCCACTAGCTGTGACCTAATAACTCAATTCCCTTCAGTGGCCACCTATCCCGCAGGCAGGGAGTCCACCAGCTGGTCTGGAACATATTTGAGCACAAAGGAAGGTAGCACTATGGAGGTCCATAAAGCGCCCTCCGAGCCTTTCCCCACTGCATATGCTCAAAAGAGCCTTTAAACCGACCCCCAGGCCTTAGCGGCCGAAATACAAGCCCTTTCTTCAATTCTTCACGGGTGAAGCTCCTGGTGTGCACGCATTTCCCTCCAGCCTTCGCCAGGCACCTCCAACGTGATTGTTGATCGGTGTCCCAGACTGGATGAAGGTTCACAATTCCATCGACTTCCTGCTCACCCTGCTCTCCTTGAGATCTGGCATTCGAATCAAGGTGACCAACCCTTGGTGCATAGTTCACATGCTTTCCATACAGGTTTGAGAGGCTGAGGAGCTCTAGCTTTGGCATGGATTGGTCTAGATGCGACATGATCGGTGTCCATGAACCAGTGGTCAAAGTACACTCATGCAGCGTGAGAGACTGTAGATTGGCATGCCTCTGGATAAATAGCAGAATTGACTCCCCTCTTGCCTTGAATCCCGAAAGTGCACATTTCTCAAGCCTGGGGAACTGTGTCTCTTGGGCAATACTTTCAATGATCCGGTCGTAGCTTTCTAGTGTCCCGTCTATTAGGGTATGACGGAAAGATAGATCCAACTCACGAAGAGCTGAGGCAGGTTTGAGCAGGGATGCAATTCCTGGTGTCCCACCGGCTAGCACTGCACGAGCATCTTCGCGCGATAGAAGTCCCCTCCAGCCTCCCATGTCATCTGATTCGGAGATTTCAAAAGTGTCCTGTATCTCCCCAGACATACTAAGCTTTAGAGATTCCAAGCCCTTGCCTAGTATCTCTAGCTGGCCTGGGCTGAACCGGGATGCATAGGTGGTGATATGACCGGATGGAATGCAGCATCTGGGAGTATCGCGATATACATCGAGTTTCTTCACTGAAATGCCGCTCTGAACTATCGCCGTCAAAACCATAGACAGTATTTGCGAAGCTCGCATCCATAGCGGGTGCCACTCCCCATGATGAGCTGATTCCCTGTTCGTACGTCCGACGATGAACGCACCATCTAGGTGTATCGAATCCAACTTGTTAAACCCCTTGAACGCGAGTTCAAGAAGCTGAATCATCTCACTTGACGACTCATTGGCTCTTTCTTCTTGCCGCTCCCTCAACCAGCTTAGGTCGGAGATGGCCTTTGACAGTTCTTCGGGGGAATACTCGACCTGAGAAGATATAATAAAGGGCCCGTCGAATTCCCGCGTAGTATATTGTCCAGCCTTCACATTCTTCTCTAACTCCGAAGAGTCCAAGCTTGTTGCTATGAAGGTCAAAGAGTGGATCCTCTTGCTGAGAGAAGGATTAGAAGCCAAAGCATGAAGAGAACGAAGATTCTGTGACGATACGTCCAGAATTGGTTGTTGAATGGAAGCTAAAAACCGAGGCCCGATGCACATCCCTGCCAGTCTTCGGTTTGTTAGACGAAGTGCTTTGACTGAGTCAAGATCCAGACATGTCAGGATGGTCTCGAAAACCTCCAAAGGCAATATCAGACAGTGCATGATTTTGGTCTGTGTTGAAGTTGTTGACTGAGCAAGAAGTGAGATTCTGAGGGGTTTGCTGGCGGCTACTGCGGACTAAATATAGCCTGGGGTTAGCTTGCAATTATTAAGCTAGAGCTGCCACCATTCCATACAACCATAATTATGTAATAATGCTTTGGCATGTGCTTTGCCAAAGAGGTAAGCTCCGTATTAAAGGTATTAAAGAGCGCTACGGGTATGAGATGTAATTTACAAGTCCTTGAAGTGCAACCCCACCTGGTAACGAGTAAAGACTCCAGCATCACCATCACTTTCACTGAGTCGTGTTACCAGCTCAGCCGGGTGCTTATAGTAAACTCGGCCTCTTCCTGGGGTGTACACTGGTTAAAGCACGTATTTGTGTAAAAGGACATTACTCAATACCCGCGCGATAGGCATGATCTGTAAAACCTGAAAACTAAGGCTCCGTTGCAAGGCTGTATACTGGTTAAGCAGAACAAGTTGAGAATCGATAAGGCCCGAGAAAGAAAATGGTTCTCAGAGCTGATGGATTAGACATAATATTTGAGCCATGTACTGGAACAACATGGAAATCGCACAGGTTTTATTTGTAGATCAGTACTTGGTGGCAACGTTCCGCTATGTGCATCATACGGCTGGAAATATGATACCTGTTAGAAGGAAAGCATGTCAGTGACCAGATTCCTTGTGAGTAAGAGGACACTTGATAACATGGCTCAAGTCTGCATTCACCAACCGCGAGAATGGCCGTATGAGAGGTATGAAGAGGACTCGATCAGTTGGCTGTTCCAGACAAAGTTCAACCCCTAATTGCCCATGCATGTTGAGTGACACTGACCCTAACTGTGCTTCCAGATACTATGGGGCATGCATTGCTTCATCTTGACCACAGTAGCCATGGGGACAGAGTAGTATCTGTGTCCATGTTTGTAGCACAAGTTTTCAATTATTGAAAATATAGTCCGGGTAAATGCGAATAATTCTTTGTCTACTAACACAGCTACTAATCCCTGAGCTAGATAGCCTTATAGGTTAATTTTCGTTTCCGTATAAATACCTGGTGCGGCTGCTGATCTATACAAGTTCTATAATCTATCTCTAGAAAGGGGACATATTGGTTATCACTAAATGGCTACATTATCTGGGTCTGTGAGAGTTCACAGCCTATAGCAGACATAATATTTTTCGGACCGGTCCAAGCCAAGACCACTGATGCGAGGAAAGAACAAAAGCTTCGTGATGGCTGACCCTCGTGTTGGACTTCCAATCAAATTGTACTTTCGGATAAACGGTCTCAATGGGATATCTCATCGACTCTCTTGCATTGTCTCCACACATCTGCGAATCAGGTCTGCCTGCTGCGTGATATATTGTTCAGTTTTCTCCACAAATCCATGTATACCATTAATGTCATCTAGCTCTGGCAGACCGTTCTTTTTAGCCGCTTTGGGATCCGCCGGCCAGCCAGGTATTTCATGACCGACATTGAGCCGCCAATATTTGGCGCGCATAATTTTCGGTGCATATGCATCAAGCAGGGTCCGGAAGAGAATGTGCATAATCTCAGAGTTGGTTGCATTCGCAGCCAAAGAAACTGGCATGTTAAAGATACCACCCAAGGCCCTATTTTTAGGGATGCCTGTTCCAATACTGAGAAAACAAGAGATGGGTCGACCAGCGCCATAAACGCTTAGTACTTCATTCCATAGCCTGAACAAACATATATCAGCATTGAAGAGCGTGGTATCATAAGAAGACAGATGAACTCACCATCCCACAGGATTGTTTGCGCCAAGGCCACCATCGATCAGCGTTTGGCCTCCAACCAGCATAGGGCGAAAGTACGTTGGCGCGGCAGATGTTGCCCGACCAGCTTCCCATATTTTGATATTTGGCAACAGAGATGGCTGTTGAGTGTTGGTGTAGGAGCGGAGGAATACGGGGCTTTTATTGTTAACTGCCGTCTCATCAATGGAGAGCACGAAGCTAAGCAGAGATGTTAGTAATGCAGTAAGGTTCAGGGAGAAGTAACAGTGAAGAGTAATACACTTTACACTCGTTGCCCTCGTCTAATAGAGGCTCATGCTCATTCTTGGTACGTTCTTTGATAACACCCCGGAGAACGCCTTCTAGTTTGGAAGTATTATACTTGGTCACATTCACCCAATTCTCAGCTGCTTCCATCCAAGTGTTTGTAAATACTTGGTTCATGAATTTCTCATATTCATGAATGCACTCGTCAACTGACATCCTCAGTCGACCTAGCATGATCGCACATAGCCTGGCTCAACATATTAGCATTAAGTCTTCCCAACACATACTTAGATGTACTTGCCCCCCAGTGCTAGTGCCAGCAATCATATCAAATACCTCACAGGGTTTTGCTGGCTTTCCTTTGGTCCCGAGCTGCTGCATCACGTTGCGCAAGATATGGAGCGACGATAATCCACGCACACCTCCTCCATCTTTGCTAATATGTCAGCATGCCTGAGATATTTAAACAGGGGAAGGAGAGGAGCTGACCAAGACATAAGACACGTAGCGGTTTCTCGTTAGCAGCATCGAAGCCATCGGCACGCATGGGAGGGGTTTCAAGATCATAATCAGTGTCATTCTTCTCGTTCAGCTCTTGGAGTGCATTTTGGAGGTACTTGAATCGCTCAAATCTGGCGGGCTCGTATATGGCTATATCGACGGGTTGGGTCCATTAGAAAGAACTTGAAGAAAAAGTAAGAAAAAGTATAGGTGGATTCCTAACCTGGCTCTTTGCTAATTTGCACAGCCAAGTATCCCTTTAGAGCTCTAATTGCCCACATTTTGAAGCGAGCACAAATTCGAATGGCAATGACATTTCCCACCTAATTATCAATCAATAGGTAGAGATTCACTGGAAAGGACGGCGCACATACCTCAAGTGAACGCAGTGAATTATGTGTTTGGTCGAAGACCATACCATGATTCTGAACAGAAAAGCATCATCTTAGCACAGGACTACATGGCATTCAACTCATGTAGTACGTACCGATTTAAAGTTCGGCGTCTTCATTGGATTGAGGTGACTCTTCCAAACATACTGGATGTTGTTCTTGATCATTGGTTCATCCTTCTCTTCATTCTCAAGAATAGCTAGTTCAAACCATGTCCAGGTTCCCGCGTCTCTGTCACCGACGAATCCCTGGTCTCCAGATTCGGCAAATAGTTGGAGGAATTGAATACGGCGAAGGACGGAAGGAGTGATAGGCTGGTAATATGTTAGCCGGGAACCGATCTATGCGGGTTGTCCAGTGTGCAGAGTTTACCGGTAGTCAAAACCATATCGCGGCTTTGATATTACCATCTTCTGCTTCTACTTCTTGAAACTGTTCGCACTTGACAACATACTGCCCACTATCTTCTGAAGACAGCTTGTTTGGAAGAGCCGGGAGATTTTCCACCTCTTGCCTAGTAAATGGGCTTAGCATGTTAACGGTTCACCAAATGTTCTCTTATTCAACAATGCCTTGGTATATGGGCATAGGATTTATTGATTGATTGACCGATATTGTGGTCGGTGAACATTGACATTGAGAGGCTTATATGTGCATTGGGTGTGAGCATCTCAGCTGATGATCAGCATGGCAATTTCATATTTTCTTTCCCATCCGTAGCACTACGCAAAGAGCGGTAAAGATCCACCACGATCGGCATTGTGGGCCCACAGATATTGAGCAGCTATGTTACGAGCTCGAGGGATACTGATTTCAAAACATCCTCAGCCGCAGTCCCGCAGCTGCTAGGAGAGAACCTCTCGCCTATTCCGCCGCAACACGTTGCCTGACCCACACGGTGGGGCTAGAAACTGACATGAATGAGAAAAATGACCCCTGCAGCTGAACGCAAAGGTGTGATTACTCGACTTAGACCCGCATATTCTGCCTTCTGACCGGCTACATTTGTGACTTGCCGTGCATAGAGTTTGCTCCCATGGCCGCCGTACTGTCCGAGGCAGGGCATCGACCTATCATTGTTGCCTCTGAGTGAATGGGACAGGCCAGGTCAACTCCACAAAGGCTACTCGCGTACATAGAAAATATTTCACAGGTGAGATCGAAAGCCAGCTAGTTTGGCTTGTACTAACACAGTACATTCTGACACTGCTTTCAGGTACTGTTTTCTTATTGCATATGTCTATGCTTTCGCCGGAGATGAAAACCATTTGACGATAGAACCAGTTCTTCTGGTAAAACACATTACTCATATTGAGCTCACGGTATTCGAGACCTTCGAGGCAGAACATAATGATTATGGGCTCATACCAGCAGAGACCACTAGTCTGTTGAGGTGCCGCAGTATCCAGTCGTCATACTTTAGGTCTGTGTCTACTATTGATAGGGCTACGCAGTATGTGATCAATTGAGTTGGTGGCTGGCTACACTGGAAAGTTCCGGGAGCTCGGACCTGGTCGGCAATCTGTTCAGTGGATAAGTAAACCAGTCGGCAACTAGGCCAAGATACTAGTTGATCTTCTGAAGACTTCCGGTATTATAATTCGTAGATAATTAAACGGAGGGTTACAGTAGATACATTTAATTGACTAATATCCAATGTTTTGCTGTAGGTGCACTTGGCATACATAAAACCAATGAATTTCGGGTGTGCAATGTCAAGAGCCTGTTTGAGGCGATCAGAGCGATCAGAAAATCCGTGGAAACTGCAGCTAAACGTACTATACCTTTTGGATGGATCAAGTACCCTGCAGCACAATAAACATTCGGATAATATGGTATTCTTTAAGCTTCGGCAGAGCTACTTTAAGGCACAAATATTCAGGGCATAAGAATCACGAGCGACATAACTGAACTAAGGAAAGATATTCAATACAAAGGGGCAGCAAGGACATGGGGAGCATTCTGCTAGTACTAAGAGCTGTCTCCCTGCAATACTCTGAGTGGGCAGGTTTATCTAGCTTGTTTCGGTCAGGCGGTTTAAAGGAAAACACCAGCCTTCAGGTTTGAAATGTATATCCAGGATATATCGAAGGAATGAAGGGTTCGTATGAAGGATTTGCCTGAGAAAGATTAGTGGGAACCGAGAGGGATGCCGTACGCTATGTCTTCTACTAGGCTATGTGCTAGCGTGAGGTGTATGACTAGGGGTTAGGATTTTCTATTTCTTTCTGCCATACAAGAATCCCACCTTTTCCTTCTTACTCATGTCTGCCATCCATATGCCCCTTAACATATGTCCACGGCTCTCTTATCGTCCCCGGTATCTCTCCTCTGCTATAATAGCTCCAGAATCAACATCAAATCAGGATCAGCAGCGCTCAATGAAGCTCAACAATGAGTCGAAACAAAAGCATATTTCAACTAGGGCCCTTTCTGAGCATCAAAGTACCGAGAGTGTCCAAAAGCATTGCCCCGATAAGGGCGTGTCTCGTCCAACACATCCATGAGATGTTATCTCGGATTGTTGGTCACTCTCTCCGCCCCGGCTATATCAAAGGATCTCGCCTTCGTTCCCCGTTCTCAGCTTTGCTACGCATCTCTTTTCAGTAACGCTAATATCTTTCCCTTCTTCCCAGTCTGGGATTGCGCAACGTCTAACATAGTAAGTCATGGGACAATCCATACGCACAATGTGTACTAAAAGCCGTGGTAGCCTGGCCATAGACTACCGGAGTTCAAAATATGCAGCAAGACTCTTGGTGGTCATTGGACTAGCTCTGGTGTAAGTGTACTTGATCATCGGGGTGCCCTTACATCCCACTTTCATGTTGCCTCGCAAAACTATTAACCAATACAAAACTCCCTGCGCTTTCCACTGGCCTGTTGACCACGTATAAGCTAACGTCGGCCGGCTTATGGCTTAGTAGTTAAGCACAAGGCAATCCCGTCTAATGTATATCTTGGTTTTGTGTGTGATTATCTGCCATGTTATTTTGCGTTTCAAGGTAGCGTGCATACTTCTTGCTGGGAGAACTTTACACTAGGTGAACGGTGGATCGTAGTGTGGAGAACCCGCGAACCCATGGTCTGCTCCGTAATGGGAAAGCAGAATTGTTGGCTCGCATAAGCAACTTGCATTAGTGCCATTTTAGTGCCCGGTATGAGATCATACCCGATACTACAACCCAGATCTTCTATGAATCATACCAGAATGTGTGAATTATAAGAATTAAAGGGCTCCCCTTGCGACTGAGGAGTAGAACACTTTTTCAATATCTCTCTCCCAGTGCCAGAAAGAACCATGTCCCAAGCAGAAGGTTATACGCATAATGGACCTGTCGACTGCAGCCTGCCTTTTGACACCAAGAATCTGCAGGGAAAGACGGCAATTGTCACTGGAGGTATAGTCTCATCCGTGTGGTGTGCCAAGCTGTAGGTGATAACTAACTTAAGCAGGTGCCAATGGTCTCGGCGAAGGCTATGTTCGCGCCCTAGTTGATAGAGGGTACGCCGCCAATCCTAATCACAAGGAGTGCCTAACACACTACGTAGCGTGAACGTCTGTATCGCGGATTTGAATCAAGACAAGGGAAGGAAATTAGAAGCAGAGTTACAGGGGTCCGTAGCTGTCCTAGGGTTGCTACTATAATGGCCTCACTAATTAACCATCCACAAGCACCAAGTTCATCCAATGCAACACCGCCAGGTGGGATGATCAAACGCGTCTCTTCCGGGAAGCCGTCTCCTTTTCACCAACAGGCAAGATCCACTACGTCGTCGCCAACGCTGGCATCCACCGACCAGATGAAGTTTTCCTGTACTCCGGCGACGATCAAGAACCAGAAAAGCCGGACCTGAGTACCATCGACGTCAACATCCAAGGAACACTATACACAGCCAAGTTAGCATCCCACTACTTCATCAAGCAAAACGGACAGACTCCCTCACCCGAACAAGAAGATGCATGTTTGGTTTTAATCGGCTCTGGTGCAGCCTTCCTCGACTGCCCTCGCGCGCCTCAGTACTGTGCCAGTAAATGGGCTATGCGGGGTATCATGCATTCTCTCAGGAGGACGGCATTCTATTACGGAAGTCGGGTTAATATCATCTCCCCATGGTAAGTAGTCCTATTCGCAGAACTTGAGCGACTTGTCCATTGACCTATACGTAGGTATGTGAAAACGAATATTCTCTCTGAGGAAGCATTTGCCCATGTTTCTAGCCTTGGGGTAGTATTGGCCACAGTTGAAGATGCAGGAGAGTGTCTCTTGCGGATTCTCAGCGATACTGGTATCAATGGACACTCTATCTTCGTCTCGGGGAGGAAATGGGCTGCCAGGGGCTATTTAGATTTAGATTTGGAGGATTATGCGGGCAATGCGCTTATCCAGGACATTCAGGAGGATCAAATGAAATCGGCACCGCCGTCACTGGGGCTGTTTTTGTGAGGGCAGCAGTTATGGGTTCGTACTGAATATTAGGATCGTACTCATTTTCAAAGAATAGATGAATATGATAACTTGTCGATGGCATCTTTCTGCAGTAAACACCTAATGGTCCATTACGTATGCTGAAGCTAAAATGATGGACACAAATAACGATACCAAGAGATAAAGATTGATGAACGGGAAGGATTGAACCACGGATAGAACCAAACAGGATGACGACTTGAACCAAACGGTGAGCACCAAAGGGAGAATAAGTGTATTGTTGCAATGTTTATCTTTGCGCACTCATCGGTCAAGAGCTTTGGTCTCTATGTTCGGTCCCTGATGCCTCAGATTTTTCCTGATGCCAGACATTCGATGCCGTAAGCAAGTCTAAAAATACCGAAGGACAGACCCACGTCAATGAACCATCTACCACAGCCATGACATATCCAAACTGGAGCCAAACAAGGGCTAGCCACCCAAGGTCTGCAACACAGCCACGCCAAGATGGTAATCAGGTTGCATTAGTGCCGGGAGCTAAAAACCCTAAGCGACCCAAGTTCTGTGACTCGGAGATAATGGAATAAATCCGCCCCGCTGTGGTCATCCAACTCTCGGCAGATCTGCGGTACTCAAAGACTATAGGATATGGCTCGAACCGATATCTAGTGGCTTTGCGGTTCTTGGTACATTCCATGGTCCTTCCACGCTGGGTATAGGATCGAGCCCGTAACGGTTACTTCTCAACATACTAACTGGACCGCTATGATGCCCAACGCAGTTTGAGCAATCACCTTTGAAGAAGGATTATATTGAACTTAGTAACCAGAATAAAATGTGATCGAGCGCTATTGATAAAACACAAACAAAGATGTCGCGGCTATTCTCTACAGTGTTGAAACTTCTCGCGCCATGTGGAGTCACAAATCTTAGAAGGAAACACTCGCCCATCAGATAATTAACCTTAACCTATGAAACATGATAAGTCAGGCATAGCCACCAGCACTCTCAATCCATCATTAGGCAACACCATATCGATGAGATCAGCCAATGCCAACCGACCATTCGGAAAGACTTCCACTCGCTTGGCACTTTCTCCCCGCTCCGAGAGATCCGTAGCCACTGCAGGATGCGGTGCCAAGTCGGAGGCGAGGCTGTGCTCTCCACTGTTCTGCTTGTTAGGGTACAAGAGGAAGGGTCGAGGTAGTGCTGTCAGCGCAGCGGGTCTTGGGGATGACGAGTCTGTCTTGGCTTACAGAATGTATTTCGCTCGGTATGTGGCAGATGCCCATGGGGCTTTATACTGATGCCTGGTCTATGTGGGTCGAGTGTGGACTTACTGAACGGTTGATTTACAATTTTGTGGTGCTCGGTAGAAGCTTGGTATCGCTATCGGTCGAATCTCATGGTATGCCGATTATAAATCCATTGCGAACAAAAGACCACGATGAAGTATATATATCTATATGTGTAACCTGTATAGCGTAGTTGTCTTCAGTAGCAGAGCTCCAGTCTCGTTATACCTAATCATGAGAATATATCCAGTCCTCCTACTATTCGCACCTCTATTGGTCCTCCTCTCGCATGTTCAAGGTGATTAGCATCCCAGCGCAGGGCTTCATTATACTGATACGGCCAGGGCACTCGATACGTTCCCCGCCATCACAAAAGGCAAGCCAGCTGGAGTCAGTTGTCATACATACACCGTCCCAACAGATCGCAAGCGAGTCCGAGTTCGATATCACATTTAGGATCCGAGGGCAGGATGACGAAATCAGGCTAAAGCTGGAGCGAAACTCTTACCTACTCGTACATCGCCCTCAAATCCAGTATCTTGACACAGAAGGAGTCGTCAAACGGACTGAGTCATTTATCGAAGAAGACCAAAGGGTATTCAGAGGTGGAGTGTGGATTCAAGTACCAGGTCGACGTTGGGAAAAGGTTGGTTGGGCACGGATATACATCGTTCGTGATGGGGATGATCCTCTGTTTGAAGGTACATTTAGTGCCTTTTCCCATTACTATGATGTAAGAGTATTAAGGGGCACGGTTGAAGAAGTTGGTCTCCCTGCTAATGACGGCTCCATGGTGGCATATCACTCTTCAAGGACGGACCTGCGCCGTGATATAGAAGATTCAACTGAGCCATCCCACTGCGCTGCCGACCAGCTGATACCCCATTCCTTGACCCCCCGGATGATATCGGTTGAGGACTCCTCCCACGGGTTGTTTCCGAATACACCTTCTAGTTTGGAACGGCGTCAGTCAACTCTGGGTACAGATGATCTGGTCAACAGTATTGGCAGTCACGCTGGCTGTCCTACGAGCAGAAGAGTCGCATTAGTCGGAATCGCAACCGACTGTACTTATACAGCATCGTTCGAATCGACGGAAAGTCTTCGTCGAAGCCTTATCAACATGGTCAATACCGCATCAGAACTGTTTGAAAGTACCTTCAACATATCACTTGCTCTTCATAACTTGACGATTAGCGATGCAAATTGTCCAGGCAGTGCTACAGATTCCGCACCGTGGAACGTTGGATGTTCCGAGGGAGACATGAATTGGCGCTTGCAACAATTTTCTTCCTGGCGGTCTTCACTGAGCGATACAGAAAACGCCTACTGGACGCTCATGACCGGCTGTCCGTCGGGGTCAGAAGTTGGTATTTCATGGATAGGCCAACTATGCAACTCTCAATCAAGCACCAACGTCGTAGCACGAACGTCAAACCAGTGGCAGGTATTCGCGTAGGTATATTTGCCAGATTAACATTTCCAATGCCGACTGACTTTTTGCATAGTCACGAATCGGGTCATACATTTGGTGCAGTCCACGACTGCGATTCCAGCACATGTTCCTCCAGTACCCAGTGCTGCCCATTGTCCTCGTCCACGTGTGACGCGGATGCTCAGTACATCATGAATCCATATTCACAGTCCTCACAGACAGAATTTTCGCCCTGTACAGTCGGGAATGTCTGCTCCCTACTAGGGTCACGATCAATGAGAACAGGTTGCCTTCTAAGCGATACGAGCAACATACCGACCCTAACGGCCGGAGAGTGCGGGAATGGGATTGTCGAGGCCGGCGAGGACTGCGATTGCGGTGATAATTGTGATGATAACAGCTGTTGTGATGGATCAACATGTCGCTTCCGCGATGGTGCGGTCTGCGATGATTCAGCCGGACCGTGCTGTACAAACTGCCAGTTTGCATCATCCGCCACGGTGTGTCGTGAGAGTACTGGAAGTTGCGACATCCAGGAGACATGCACTGGGAATTCCAGCGCTTGTCCTACCGACAGATTTGCACCAGATGGGCAAACATGCGGCAACTCATCCGGTCTATTTTGCGCCAGCGGAGAATGTATGAACCGGGATATGCAATGTCAACGGTTGCTGAACACCAATAGCACGGGCGTATCCTCCTGCAATAGCGACTCGTGCACCCTCAGTTGCTCAGTTGACTGGTATGGCTCCGGGACTTGCATGGGCATGAACCGGCAGGTGCAAGACGGGACTCCCTGTTCGGACGGGTTCTGTCGAAGCGGGAGGTGTCGGTCTGATAGTGAGGATAGCAGCTCATGGGTGGATCGCCATCGGTCTCTGGTTATTGGACTGTCTGCCGGAATTGGTGGGGCCTTGGTCCTTGCAGTGCTATTGAGTATAATCTTTTGCTGCTGCTGCCGTCGTAAGAAGACCCCAACGAAGGGCATTCCACCAGCGCCTCCCGTGACAGGTCAAGTCCCCCGTGTGCCACCTCCATATGCTCCTGCCAGCCCTACCAGGTCTATAGCACCACCAAATTATCGGTATGCATGAATGATCCAATATCTGAATACGCGATATACAATTCCTGAGCGTTAGATTACGAAGCAATGTCAAAACTATTCGAATGCCTTAATTTGCTCCACATGTAGTCTTCTACTGTAGCTGGAGGACCTGTCTCCAAATAAGAGGCCGTTCTCCTCGCCTCATTCTCCAAAGATTGCTAGAAAGTAACAGCTCTGAACACCCCCGGAGCAGCCAGCCCCACTTTCTCGCAAATCCCTCCGTAACCTCCCAGTTGTTCGGGTCCGAGGGTTCTCCCCACACGAGTAGTGTGGCGCCCGTATTCCTAGTATCCCAGAAAGCCATCAGATCATGACAAAGATCGTCGTCATCTAGCATATCCCCGGCAGTAATAAGGTTATCTCGCATGTGCGGGAAGGGAAAGAAGTCCAGCCAGGGATGATGCGGTACACTTCGTTGGATCAGTGTTGGGCGCAAACTCGGCGGGATATTACCCTCTTGGAACCCAGGTTGAACGAGATTGAATATGGAGATCGAGTCGTCACTCTTGGTCCAGTCATTGGTCATCCCTATGGCGCATATATTCTCAATGATGGCTCTATGAACGTTCAGACGGCTGAGACTGATCAAGTGCTCTGTTTTGGGCGACCCCCGGAGAAAACTGTCCCGGGCTGTCGCTTCGAACCATTGTCGGAACTGCAGTGCATATGGTGGGGCATGGGCACATTGAAGGTCCTCTGCAGTTTCCACATGAGATCCATCGGATGGGCTTCGTAGTACAATTTCTGAGCTTCCCGTAGAGGACGCAGCAGATGTGCCTTCCGGTGGTTCGACGACTATTCCCTTCCTCCTTAAGCCTAATATTCAGGTCAATGATCATACCCCTCTTCCCTGTGCTCCTGAGGAACTAGAGTGCTTACGGTATGCCCTCTGACTATGTCGATTTTGCAGTCGCCGCCGTTCCTTGCGATCTATTATTCCCGTCCAATCGTCTCCGGCGGCCCGCACCCAGGCCTGCTGGGGCATATGTTCTAGTCGGATACTAGAGGGCCTTGTAACCCCTTTGACTTCTGGAAGGTTGTTCATTGTGAAGGTAATCCTGCTGATCTATGCACGAGGTGGGTTGGTAAGGAAAGTTAAGAGATTAATGCAAGTTGCTGACCGTCCCGAACGATGTCCCATAGTAGTACCAAGTGGATGTAGACGCCACCGTTTGAACGGTTCCACCCAAAAACTCTATTGCATTTGATACTGCCCAACATTGGAGAACCATTCAACGGCCAACCACACTAATGCAAGTTGCTTACTCCGCTAACTCTATATGGTTAGTTTCTAATGTTTTCCATGTTTTTCGTTTTATTTATTTATTTATCTTTCTCAAGTCCGTCGACCACCTCGTCAAGAACGTGCGGTGATATATGAAACAACTCAGCTCCAAGACACGCTGCTCTAAAGCGTATTCTTTGTAAAGGTGTTGGGGTTGGTCGCTGTCTATCAGTTGAGTTACCAGTCGCACTGCCTTGTAGCACCACTATAAAAAATAAGACCAAAACACAGGACGAACATAAAGGAAGACGAGGACGAATGACACGAACAATAGCAGACCATAAAGACATATGACCACATAACTAGGCCCAATACATAGATGGTACCGTCACACTACCTGTGAGTTTTCTGCTTCGGCTCGAAGAGTAATGGCCAGAAGGATAGGCCCTATCTCACGGATATGAGAAGCAAGCAACGTGTCGAAAGGGCCGAACTGGTGCATTGTCAGGAATGACAGGGGTGGCTTGGGAGGCTCTTGTCCACTTAATTTCTGGCCGGTAGATTCGTTACGTGCGGGCAGCGGGTTATTCAGGTATGCCAGATAGTCGTCGTTGTACTCAGCAACCGTGACATAAATCTCGTGTCTGTCCTGGGACACATGAAAGCGACTATGGCACCGTCAGCATCACAGCAATCCACGGGACTAACAGAACCTACACCTTCCGTCTCTCAGCCCAATCACCGTTGCTTTTGATCCAAGCGACCATCTGTGCAGACTCTTGAATTTGGATAGCGGCCTGCTTTGTGGATCGTGACACAGGCTTTACCTCAATCAGAACACTGGGCTTTCCACGGGAATCATCCAGATAGCCGTCTGTTCTTGCCTCGAACTGGGCGTCTTTGAATGCCGCAGTTAAGGCTATGCGATGCATCGTCCAGCTCGATGAAAGGTTGAAGCGCATCGTGAGCGCATTCAGAAAAACCACAAGGGCCGTATTCACAATTTGTTCATCCTTGCTAGGAGGATACAGAATATTCACCAGTTCCTTGGGAGCCGGACTTATTGGCTGAAAGGGGGTAGATTCCAAAGGGGTCAGCTCATCTTCAAGGGCTAAGTCATCATCATCACGAGCCCCTTGAACGACAGGTGTATCGTACAAGGTCTTGGGCCTCTTTGAAGGCGTCGCCAGGTAGAGATTGGCTAGCTGCGATTCTAATTGGCGGGTGCGAGTACGGCGAACTATCGGTGTGGCCAACTGTTCAGCAGTCGCTAGGCTTTTGGTCTTTTCTACCTCGAGCTGGTACAGTCGAGCGATGGAAAAATCACCTTCTGGTATCACACCTGGCGCGAAGTCGTCGCAGAAGGCCCTCCAGGAGCGATGCCCAGCCAGCATCTCGTCAGCACGGCTAATCCAGTCGGCCATTCCAAACATGGATTTTATCTGCAGTTGATTTGTTTCATACGTCTTCCATAAAACTCGTAGGAGTAAGAACTGATCATACCCCATTTGCGAGGCTGAAGCAAACTCCGCTCCATGCACCGTCTTGTCCGTGAGATTGCGTAGACCTATAGCGTTCTGCCACTCCCGGTTGGTTGCGGGCAACTTGAGCCCGTTCATGACAGAGTTTGAGGAACGATTTGGCTAGAGGGATCGAAATATTTCGCTGTGCGGCATTTGAAGATTTATATAATGCTCCAGTCTGCGGTAAAAGCCAGTTCTTACATTCACCTTTGATGCTGAATTACTACTTTCCGGTCTTCCATGGGAATATTTTAGAAAGGAAACGCTCTACCTTGGAGTGGCTTTAAAAATAGCACAATATTCACGCCAACCCGACGCCATCACCATGCACGTATGTCAACTCCAGCAATCACACAAGGGCGTCTACAGGCCATTCAACGCACGGGACGTTCAGTCTACCTTGGTCGGCGGTTGCAGCTACAAATTGAGTCTACCAGAGCCAATCACTAGATATATGCGACAACGCGACCGTCCAGGGTGCGAGAAACCATCGTGTCATGTAGGGTACGGAATCGGGACGGCGCGAGATGAATGCCTGAGCGTTGTGGCTCCGTGCGTCACGCGAACCGCCAGTCTTTTAATTGGCCGTCGCCCAGCAACGGATCAACCAAATATTAGTTTAAGAACAACAGCCTTCCGTCCTTCACTCCCATCGTCAAAGTTGGACTCCACAACAGTAACCGACATGGACACCGAACCTTCAATGCGCCTTGAACGGCGTAAAAGATTATTGCAGTTAGAACGGACCATTGAACAGCTCCAAGTTCCAGAAATCGATCTCTCTAAATTGCGTCAGTTCAGCATTGCTGTCCAACCGATGACGCTCACTGGAAACTCGGATTCACGGCCATCTTTCTTTGCTCGGTCGCGGTTACTTCCTGAACCCGATGATGAGCTACTCGAAAAGGAGTACCCGACGTATCCCCATCAGACCGATCCATCGTACAAAGAGCTCGAACCTTTCCTGATCCCCTCCTATCGCGCGATGGGCTTCTGCGACTACCTGACATCTTGGATGTTGGACGAAACCTGTGGCAGAATGCCAGGTCCATGGTCTTCAAAATGGTAAACCACTTTGCGGCATTCGCTATGTGGTACCCTTTACGGCTAACCGAGGCGCACAGTGTCGGAGATTATACCACCTACAAGAGTCTCTTTCAGCACCACGAACCTGCATTTGGAGCGCTGTATATGACCGACCTTGGCGGCCCGGATTATCCCCATACGAAGGCAATCGTCTACAACAACGTGAATACAACCGATCAAGCAATACTGCGAGGGGAATTGCTGTTAATTTTACGCTTGATGATTGGACAACTCAGAAAACGACGTTTCATCCGACATATGGTAGCACCGGTAAGTTCGCTATGCTCTCCGCGCCCATGGCCTAGCAACTAATCCATCGCGCAACTCGTGCAGGTCCTTCTTTTCTCGATCGTTGGACCACAACATGCGCGCATAATCGAAGCCATCTTTGATGGTTCCAATCTTATTTTGCGAGCAACCAAGATCTTTGACCTTCGCTACAAGAACGTTCAGGGCTTGAAAGATTTTGCGGAGTATTATCTGGGACCCCCGATCGGCGATACGGTCAAGACATGATTCCGGTTTTTTTTTCAATTCACCTTTTTAGATGGGTCCTGGCGTTGGTTGGTCGGCTTATGATGGAATGGATAATATCTTGCTTTGGGGTAGGGCGGTGTGGCGTGAATATTTAGCAGGTCATGGGTCACGACTACATACGAATAATGACTTTTAATCAACCGTGAATTTCTTCACAACTTTAGCACTAGTACATTGGTATAATACTAATTGTAGGGTGCTAGACACATTCACACATTTGCACTGCCGTAGCATGTTGTTGGGCCATTTCTTCATCTCCCAGGGCCTTTGTTTCACCCAGCCATTATGGAACCTTGGGACGTTTCGTATGACTTTGTCTACACCAAAACCATCATTCTATTTCTAGATAAGAGCTAATTTGGAAAGACATGGTTCGGACTTTTTTTGGTTGACGATATTTCTGCACGATTTTAACATCACCTTTGTTATCTGCTGATATATATTTCAGATGATGCAGGAACACACAGAAAGATTTTAAGTTGCAGGAATGTCTACTGACACCACCAGCAATTGTCCAGATTCCATAATGAGGACTTGAATCCTTAATTGATATCTCGTTTTACTCTCTATAGGATTGATTTGTCTTGGGTTGTACTTTGTGGGGGTCGATCGACCCAAGGCCCACCTACTCTGGACTAGACCGATTAAATAGTAACATGTGGGGCGACTACGCCGTTGATCAGCCATGATAAACCGGTCTAGACTAGATGCATTTAGCTGGCGTTAATGACTATTTCAGACTTAGGAAATCATAAATCAAGGACTGGGGTTGAAGGGAAGTGTACTAGTAGTGTCCTGAGATTGTTGTTTTCTCTTCGCTGGAGTTAAGCGGAGATAAATACAAATGCGCGCACCATCGGGAGCGCGCGATCGGTATACCGAGAAGCTCAATTGGACTGCCGACGGTCGCGATTGCGTAAAGTTGGACATTCTACATGCGTGGCGACATCAAGAGAAGTATAAGAATTTTTTTTTAAAAAAAAAAAATAATATCCCTGCCTGTGAAAGTGAGATCAATCGAAGTTGTATACTTCTTAACCTGAACTCACTCGGTCAGCTACAAGACAACTGCAGAACAAAGATCCCCATCCTACAACCATAACATTTGGTGGCCTGACCACGAACTGTTTTCTTTCCGGCCGTCAGACTACTTCATCAAACTTATCCGAACCAAACAGCGGATCTAGTGGCACTGAGAAATCCAGATAATCCGTAGTCAGAGCGTGCCGGGAATGATCGTGTTGTGTCGGCTCCCCAGGTATCGCAGGTTGACCGGCTCGGCGAGGTCGAAGCTTTGAATAATCCAGTCAATGTCATAAGGTGGAAATTTATATTGTACATCATGGTCCAAGGGGAGTGGTTGGTGTTGGCCCTGAGAGTGTCCTGCGTGGTGGCCGACATGATATCTTGCGTCTCGCATGCCGTCCCCTTGATAGGCCATAGGTGCAATCATTTCATTCGGACTGGAGACTGCGATGCTTGAATCGTCAATATCGATGTTAATCACCTTAAATGAGTTTAATATAACCCCCAGGGCACGCTTCGGTCCTAGATATAGCTTTTGATGCTCTTTCAAGACAGTCGTGGGCATGGGAGCCTGCAGGGCTATGTGCAGCTATGCGAACGTCAATAGTGGCGCTGACGTACGTAGCGTAGGATATACTGTACGGGGCCAGTTGAGACCCGATGAATGTGAACGTGTCGGGGTATTCATCAGAAAGCTTCTGAAAAGTGTTGCCATTAGCTGCTACTGCGGCCCATGATCTGGCCAGAGCCGCCGGTGGGATAGCTTCTATTTGAGCTTGCAGAGCTCTGACTTCATCGTGGAGCTTCTCATTTTGATCACGGTGAACGTTCTGGTCGTGCTTGACCTCTTCAATCTCGGCCTTGGTAGATTCGATTCGCAAAAGATAGAAGCTAGGATGACCTCAGTTTCATCTGGGAGAAACATCTCGCGTCCAAAACCCCCAGCCTTCCCGATTGTCTTGCACTCCCTCTCCAATTAGCTGGTTGATACCTTCAACGCCTTCAGCCTTTTCAAACATCACCTGATTAATCTCTTCGCCAGGCTTTCCATCAATGCCGTTTGTAAATACGGCGGGCCAAAGCACCCCAACTCCGTCGCCAACTAGGATAATCTCATATTTCCGAAATCCTTCTGCAGTGAACGTTCGCTCCAGCTCTTCAATAGTTTGATCTTCGATATCCGGTCGCAAGAAGATGATAGCACATCCACCACCTCCAGCACCGGTGAGTTTTGTCTAACCGATATTGGCATAATCGACGAGCTCGCGAATACGCCCTAGACGGGGATGAGAGACTCCTAACGAAACCCATCAACCATACCAATCAAGGCTCCCAGATGTCCTAGAGCATCAGCGGCACCACTACCATGGAGCTCAGCCGATGAAATCAGTGCTAGTGCCGAAGTTGCAATTTTGCCAATTCCGTCCAAGATCAGGTCTGTTATTTCAGGCTAATTGGTTTTCAGTGTTTTCACCTTGTCCACCTGTATAGCGGTGGAGCGCGGTTGTTGAGTATCGACGAGAAGGAGAGGTAGTCTCGGGAACTTGGTGAGACGGATGACGGACGACTGTCCAGAAGCGTTTCTTTGGAACATCACAACCTTTCCACTCGCCGAGACCGTAGTATCAACCCCACTAGGGTCTCCATGTATACAAAGCTCGCCCACGAATGCCCAGCGGTTAATATGCTTAATCTACATCTCTGCTTCCTCAAGAGGCTGACCCGGTTGGGGTCCAGCAAGGGCGCGTATCTGCAGGAGCAGCGCTGTGCTCAAGCGGACGCAAACACTGACACTGCTGCCTAGACATGTGCCAATAGGAATGGTCGATCGAAGAGTGTAGATGAATCCAGGGCTTTCCACGGGGCCTAGGGAGAGGCAGAGGTAGAGGTAGAGGAAGGCGGTTGCAGATTTGATGTGGATTTTGCGCTCCTGCTCTGGAAGATGCTTCGACACAGCCTCTGCATGTGGCAGGATGGCTTTGAGGAACTGAGCGTCGAGGTAGTTGACATCAGAGTAATAGAACCTTTTCTTGCAAGGGTGGTGGAAGACATTCCATGGCAGAGCGTCGGTTTCCCACGTATGATTTAAGCCAATCTCCCTGAAATTCAGCTGGACGGCACGTCAAGACTGGTGAGGGTCGTGACGAGGAGACAGGATCGGAGAGAGATAGCGGCGGCAATAGCGGGCTGAGCATACACTGCGGCATGTTCACCGAAGACGATGGCTTTTCCGGGTGCGGACACCATGAATGTGGGGGCGATGGGTCATGAGCATTTTCTCTCCATGTGGACTGGACTGAAGAACCTGTCGATGGGGTTTTGCTAGTTGGTCTGTTGATGAGTGTTGCTATCCAAGTGGCAGGAAGATATGTATTCGTTCACGGAGCCAGTAAGCGGCTTGGCCATGTACGCCGCCCTGAGACCCTCCTTGCTTTCTCATAGCGTTTCACCAACCCGTATCGTCCATAGGCAGACATATCCTTGCTACTACTTGCTACCAATACGCGTAATAGTACCATAGACCGTTCTCTATACTGCGGTCACACGAGGTTTTGGGGCCTACCTTAGTTACAGGATGATTCTACGTGACCACTCATGGACTAACCACCGTTCTCGAATGGTAAACTGGATGTATATACTCTTTGAAGATCAAGACAATATTCGTTGCGCTCTGCAACTGCTGTTAAACTTCGATAGAAGTCAAATCAACCAGGGAACAATTCACTATGTATGGCCTAGGAATACTGATTCCCGCTGTGAAAGATTAACATTGGCTGTCTTCACACCCTGGATAAACAACACTTCACCCCTCCTAGATAATCTCTCAGTGATACTGTACGTAATTGTTCACTTAACTATACTTGTCTTTTCCGGCGTACTTGCTCTTTTCTCCGCCATTATTATCACCATCATATCTCTCCAACCCCCAGGAAATCCATCCTACAACCCAAGAACCCCAAACCTCGTCTACCCGCGTGCTGCGTAGCAGTGCAAAGAATTGGCCATCTATCACCCCACAGCAGCATTTTTCTTCCCTAAAGAGCGAAATCCTTGCGACTACCTGGCCCTAACGCCTCATACGAGACTAACTTCCCCGTGAAGTGGGCATTCTACTCGCCAGGAGTCCCTCAGAGGATGGGCAAGTAGAGGCGACGCGTGTCTAAATAAACTATGATCTATTTAGTGCGAGCTTGGAGGTAAACATGTCTTCAGACAGCCACCAGGTGTCAATAAATTGGGCGGCCAACGAGTTGACTGTAGCCCGTATCGACGGGTTATGGACAATCCCGGAACTTGCCACTATTACATTTACAGGAACCCCCGGTAAGAAAATTGATATTCTCTATGACTGATCTCTGCTTACTTTTAATATAGTTTCCCCCCGTACCAGAAGGTGTACAAAGAGCCTGATCATGCTTTTATCCAGGGGCTACTAAAAGCTCGAAATATGCCTACTGCTATTGTAGAAGCAGGATACACGGAATCTTGGCCATGTCTGATGCTAGACCGATAGCCATGGCTCGATTTAATGCCGACTGTCAATGTCGTCCCGTTGCCTACATGGAATAGGCGCGCACACAACACGATGGCAGGTTATTTGGAGATCTTGCGGCGTGATAAATCTTCGATCCATGTCATGAGTAATAGTTACTACAAATCGTTATAATGGTGAAAGCATTCGCAATGTCCTCTCTCTATTCCAGAGTGGAAGCACCATGGCAGTCTCACCCTCTTAACTTGCTATGACAGGCGTTTATCCTCCCGTGACCTACGTTAGCTTTCAAGACTTGAAAGCACGCGTTATGTCGACAGCTGATGCCCTATCGCGACGTGACGTGAACCAACACATCTGTCTAAAACATGTTGTGCAGCGGGAATTTGAATCGATCGAGCAAAACCGTGATAATACCGGAAATACTGTTCGATTCACGTACTTTCCTGACATCGAAACGCTGATTGTGAAGGTCCCCTCAAAGCAACAAGAAAAGCCCACGCGACGATAGGCGGCCGCCTTATACGCAAAGTCGCTAGAATGGGTGTAGGGGATCTTGAATTCCAGGCACTGGGGGCTACCACGTGCACCGGGCCAACTGCCAGCAGTAAGGAGGGCGACTCGAGTTGGATCAACGACTTGGTAAGGCCCGGCGGTTGGCCATTGCTGGTCGTTGCAGCGGGCATGTCTGAATCGATGCCCCGCCTTCGGTGCGACGCGTCATGGTGGATCTCGAACTCGAATGGTGAGGTTCAGATGGTATTGATCATTGCGGTCTCGAGGAACCCGAAGAAGGTAGAAATCGAAAAGTACGTGCCCATGCAGTTTCCGCAGACTCAGGCGCAACCTGGCCCGGTATACCAGGCGCACAAAGTGTGGACCACCATGATTGACCAGCAGGCGAATCCTCCAACAGTTCTGGGCGCTCCTCTGCGACTCGAGTTCGATAAAGTCATTGGCCGCCCTGCGATTCCCCCAATGGAACACAAAATCGTATTTACAACCGCAGAACTCTAGGAATGGTCTAGATACGTGTTTATTTAGTCTTGGAGCTATGGATTTCAGGGGAACAGTGTATGGCGTAATGTCTTTGTATTGTGCACTTACGTGCCCTGTCGATGCTGTCACTCGTTACCAATCCATATCCAATTAGCTCTACATTAATACCATACAAGCTAAATTTCTCAATGTGAGCATGTGCATATTTTAATTTGTACCCAGTTGCCTACATTGTTGTACCGTGGGTATATACACTGCCCTCTGAATGTTTGCCTACCCGGCTAGAAGCACCATTCTTGCTCAGATACTATCGTTAACAATCACTATAACAAGCCGAGAGCTCTCTCATACTGCTTCCACTTCATCCCAACGGGCTGAATAAGTGTGTAACTGCGCGAGGTCTCATTCATACTTTGGACCCCGTTGATCAAATAGAGCGGAGTCATCTCGCCATCATCGCTGAAAAAGATCTTTGGCCTCTCACGGCGCTTCAGGGTCTCAACCGACCCGTCAGTATACGTGACAGTAGAGTTAAAAGCCTCCTGCAACTTGAAATACCAAGGCCCAGTCAGATTGCGGGCGTACATATGAGCACCGACTCGCGGCCATTTCTGCCCATCGTGTTCAACAATATCGATCATCCAGTGCGTCAAGGTATGCCAGTTCCCCCGCTTGTCGCGCCAGAAGAACGGGTCTTCGGTCCACGTGGGGCTATATCTGGTCGTGTTCCATTTCTGCGTGTACAACAACTTGTATTCGCCGTCCCATCTGTCGGCGACGAAAATGGCATTTCCTTCCACTCCCATCATAACCTGGCTGGTTGGGTCTTCGGGTGACCAAAGTGGCCACGGAGCAGGGTTGGTCGATTGTGGCTCTTCAGAGTTTAGAATCATTTCAAACGGCGTCCAAGGCCCTCGAATGCTATCAGAACTGGAGACGGAGATATTGTTCGGCCACTTTGTGTACGAGATGCTTTGGCATTTCTCCGGCTTCGGGGCATCCACGCCGATGGTATACATGAGATACTTATTGTCCGCTGGACTAAAGAAAACATAAGGGTTATGGCGAAAGGCTGGAGCCACCGTGTCGGCGAAATGGTAGGGACCCTGCGGTCCATTGCGTGACTCTGCCCTCATTATAAAAGACTGTGGCCTCCAACCACTGAGACCACAGCCGTAGCTGAATTGAGAAGCAAATAGATGGAACAGGGTAGGGTCGACTGGGTCCTGGAAAATCTGCCCTCCCCAGGAGGAGTTGCCGTACTTGCCGTAGTAGCTCGGGTCGGTAACATTCGTGTAGTTGTAACCTGTGTACCTGGTAGCCGGAGCAAGATCCAGCCTACCGCAATCTTCGCCGAACCAGCCGGGGTCACATTTGCATGTTTTACTTAGGATACCTCGTCCATTATTGCTCTTGGGACCATCACTGCTCCTAATACAGACACCATTGAGGCTGCAATCTTCGTCTGTCGCACAGGCGCTCGCGAGCTGGAGGACAGCTAGCCCTATGTATGCAATATCTAAAACGCGCATTGAGAAGTCTGATACCGCTTGGTCGATAGCTGTAGTTTGCAAAATAAGAACGGGCTTGTCCAATCCTTCATAGTATAGCTAATACTTATTCATTTAGTCTTAACCGCGGCGTTGAGTTGCTTTAGGATGAGAAACCCCGCTTTGCCGTCTTCTCGGGATAGAAGACACCGACGGAAAAATTGTGATCCTACACGTTTCATGCTGCATTTACATGTACATGCTCCTGGCAGACGCCTGCATTTATCATTAGTACCTTTCCTTGGGAACAGATACTTCAAGGTCCAATGTAGTCAAAGCTTTCGTTCTAGATATTCCTATAAATATGCGATATTGGCCGACCTTAGCTCGCTTGCACTACGATGAACACAATGTTTCATGTTAGTAGACGCCTCTATGATTGAATATATAGTACATCGCCGGTGAAAGGAACAATAATCGGGCTTCTTGTTCACTACCTTCTCCGTTCCCAGAGCCGGTCGGATCGTCCGTACGATGCAGTTCTCAAATAGGCGCTTATCAGGTGTGATCCCTCCAATAGACACCTAGTCCAGTTCACCACCTAGTTAGTCGGAAGTTTAGTATGAAAGTAGAACCTCCGTTACTACAATGATGGCAAGTAGTCAGTCAAACAGGAAGGTAGGTCTACCCAAGGAATTTCCCCGTGAACAAAACATGCCATCATGATCGTGATAAGGGGACCTTGCTCAGCTTCCGTACTTAATGAGGGCAGCACCAGGGTAGACTTTCTTGTCTCTCGCAGTGTGATACACCAATGCGATCATTTTTCTGATAATGCCAATATCATCGGTGTCAAATTCTAATAAATGTAGTATTTACATATACCGCAGTCTCCATCGTAGTTAATCCCACTTCTATGTTCCCATGTCGATGCCTAATTATAGTTGGTGCTCAGTGCGAATTCCCGGGCAGCATTGAGATCAGCAGAAGCCTTATCCAGTTTCGCCTGCATTCTTTGCACGCAATCCGGACCCAGTGGCAATCTCAGAACTTTCCCCTTAAGCCCACCAGCGGCCCCCTCGCCAGTGACAACCTCAAAAATCCTAGCGACCGCCTTCTCCGGATCTCCCTTTTGTTTGCCCTGTGCTGACTCGAAATTACCCAGCATTATGTCCACCGGCCCACCTTTATAGGGCTCGCTAAGGCCACGCTCGTTCCTTTGAACCGCCGACAGGAAATTCGTACGGAAAGCGCCAGGTTCAACCACCAGAACTGAGATATTGAAGGGCGCAAGCTCACGACTCAATGATTCAGATAGACCTTCCAGCGCAAATTTACTAGCAGAATACAGTCCACATGAAGGCAAAGCATCTTGACCAGCGATGCTACTAATGTTCACGATCGTTCCGCTGCGGTTTCCGCGCATACCGGGCAGCACGGCACGGATTACTCGGAGAGGTCCGAAGAAGTTGGTCTCCATCTGGAGGGCGCTCTCTTTGTCGCTGTACCGCAATATCAGTCACTGTTGGCTTTTATGAGAGGAGCAGCAACTTACTTCAGGTCCTCCACGGCGCCTAATAACGAGTACCCCGCATTGTTTACTAATACATCGATTTTGCCGTAAAAGCTCTCGGCCTGTTTGACTGCCTCGGGAATGGCATCGGCTTTCGTGACGTCTAATTCCACGATCTTTCCACCCTTATCCTGGAAGGCCTGGACGGCATCTGCGGACTTTGATGCGTTGCGAACAGTTCCGATTACATGATGTCCGGCTGTTAATGCGTACAGCGAAAGGGATAGACCAAGTCCTGACGAGGCTCCGGTAATGAACCAAACTAGCGGTGCCATTGCTAGGAGGATATCTTGTGTTAGAAAGTATCAGGATATAAATGTGGCCGGTAATAGTCCAAATAGTTGTGGGGGACAAGCGTCCTTTAAATAAGAACGGGGCGTAGAGATCCGGAGATAACGGATCTTAGTGGGCCAAATGGCGTTCCATCTTCATGCATTCATTGATTAGTAGCTAGCTCAAGTACTATATAACTGAGCTACGGCCAAAGGAGCCGAATGCCAAACCAATCAGGGACCTTCAGCCGGAACGCCCTGCCACCAACGGAGAATGGCGGCTTTACATCGGGGTTAAGGATGTCCCGATTATGACCGAGCGCAAGATATCTTTTCTCACGTAAGAAGAGAAGGGGGATTCATTCTCAGTCCATTACTCATATTCGCCAGGGCTAAATCCCGGGGGAGGTCATGTGACATCTCGATATAAAATAAGTTTCCCTCCAGCTCTCGTAAGTAGAGTACTAGATTACCCCCTATTGCATTTTGGCTAAGCAGTGAAGTCACTTTGGTTTGTCCAAAGGTTATGCTTTGTCACTTTGGTGAGCGTGAACCACGTTCCTTAGGGTTTGCTTGGACAAGCCCTCGTCTTGCCATAGAAGATGACGAACGAGTTAGGGTTGAGTCAAGATTCTTCGAGGGTGCCACCTGATCTGCATCCAGAGACAAGATCGTAATAACGGCTCATGAGAAAATTATCTGCTGATCACCGACGTGGCGAAGTCGATGTGGCGCAGTAGCAATACCTCCAAAGGCGCCATGACTTCGCCCTCTAAAGCCAAGATTCTACAATGGAGAGTGCTCGACATTTCGCAGTATATGCCTCCGATCGTTATTTGCCCAGTGCAGATCAGTACCCGCTACTTGTTCGTTGAGCCGCGAGTGGCCCATCACAGTGATGGGAATACGAGGAGCCGAGAAATCGGGCACGGTACCCACCGCTTGTGTACAGAGTGAAATAATATAAGACAGAGACGATGTCAGCGAAGTCTGTCAAAGGCATTGTTCCAGTGCTTCGCCGAGCCTGTCCATCATGATGGTACTTAAAAAAACACTTCTTTTATTGTCTATCCTGTCAGCGGGGCCCGTGGCGGCGTCCAAATACGATATCAGGCTGGACACGACGGCGACAAACCTCGGCCCGCTCACCACACGCTTTACTCCTCCAGCTTCTTGTTCCGATATTCGCACAAGAGATTTCTATGGCTACTACCCTAAGCTCGAAATGGGCTGTGAAGGACCGGGAGGAAATGAATGTTGCCCCCCAAATTGGCGAGATGATGTTTATTACAGCCCTGGGATGTGCCCGGCGGGATACCAGACTTGTACATTGCCAACCTCCAAACAGCGCATTGAGACGACTGCCATGTGCTGTCCGGAGTAAGTTCACAACGTGCATCCGTTTAATGCATCTCCAGAGTGCTCATGTACTATAGCAATTTTGCCTGCAATGGCCAAGGCAGCTGCACTCGCCCCTTAAACACGAGGATCGCCCTTACCATGACTGGCGCTACACACACCACCACTCGAACCGCATACGCCATAACGGCAACCCCGATACAAATCCGCTTTAAAGCTGCCGAATCGACGATCGTCCCAATCCCGACGGCATCTTTACGGCTTCCCAGGGGATATCTGTACAAGCGCGAGAAAATTGGTGTCGGTATTGGAGTTTCGGCCGCCGTTATTGGAATCGCGATTGGTGTATACTTCTGCTGCTGCTCCGGCAGAAAACAGAGAATGGCCAGGGTACCAACAATTCCACCGGAGAATTATTCTACCACCGATACTCCTGATGTTCCTCCGCCAGCTTATCCGGGACGGATGATGATTTGGGCATAGGGTCGTCAGTTCCAGGTAGCGGCCCTGAGAGCTGGTCAAACGGGGGACGAAAGTAGTAGCTCACTGATACCCAACTTGAACTCTGATGCACATACCATTTGTTTCTAAAGTAAATCTCATCAAGTAGTAGCCCATCAGTTGAAAAACGTATGAAACAGCCAGCACTGGGACCACCACAACTCCACCAGTGCCTCTTGGCAATCTCGTATTCTGGCCATTCCTGGCTTCGATAGGCTAAGATCGCCAACGATGTAACAAATAGACTTGGAATTTCTCCATTCGCTTGCCTTCTAGTACTTCGCTTGGGCCCTTGTGATTGAAACAGTATTATATATTGATGAAGGGTCTCTTGGCGAACGCCCTTTATCTTTTCGCAAAGACTCCACAGACATAATACAGTGTACGTATTGTTCTTCTTGGGATGCAATCAACTCAACGAAAACACTGGATGAAAGAAATAAGTTGTACTAGCAGGAATCGCATAGGTGGCGCCCATAGTTAGAGTATGGGGTGAAGAATACAGAGGGAGTCAACCGATGGGTACCGTTCTCCAACAGTTCTATGGCGAATCATTGGACAAAGCGGGCGGGAATGCATACAGGCCCTTCAAAGTTCATAGCCTATGAATTGTTTCAATATCACTCGCACAGATCGAAATCCTTCTCTTTGCCACATCTTAGCCTTGTCAATATCCACTCAGTCTGGGTTCAAGATACGCTGTAATCGGACAGTGTGTTTTGTATGTTGATACGAGCGCTCTGTCATTTTAGACTCGAATGTCGGACATACATTACAAGGTGTAAGAATGTCTGCAAGATAAATCTCCATAGAACATTTAATTCTGCCACACACGACACGGCGCAACCTTAGCTAACACTATACAATAAAGCCGGCTGTTTTTATCATCCAGCAAACAGAGATACGGATTAATCACATGTATCATCTGCATTTTGTATCGATTGAGTTTAGGATTTGTTGCAGCGCGGCAGGAGAGGCTGAAACGTTAACATGGGTCAGGCTGACTGCCACACGAGAGCATAGTCAGCCTTGCAGAGTATCTTTAGTCCTAGGGATGGTACGGTCAGACTCGGCGTCGTCACAGCGTCCCTGCAATACATCATCTCTTCACCTGATTAATGTCGCACGTAAAGGGAGTCTACATACACTCTTACTCGGTGTAAATATGATCTGGCTTCAGTTATTGTTGGAATTCCTGGCCCACGCTCAGACGGGGTATTTGTCTTCTACATAAACCCAATTCACATCTTACGCCAACTTCTATATGAGAGGAACATACAAGACACGACTGAGGGTTGAGGTAAGTGTAGGTGTGGCAGCACAGCATGGCCCCCTGGGATACGTCGGCTTCAATAACCCAAGATTTAGAACATGGGACAGTAGTGAAGAATGCTTGGGTCTGAAGCAGATCTTAGATATTCCGAAGGACGTGTAGAGTGCGGCAAGTTCCATGATCTTGAGCATGAAGCACTGAGGATGGAATACCAAATACAATAAGACATGCACCGATATCATTCAGTGTATAGGAGTCAGGGTAGCCGAATTGCCGGCTTCATTACCGTGAAGAATGTCGACTTCACAGGCACGAACTAAACTGAATTAGGTCGCTCCGCGGCATGTGACCCCCGCAGAGGCGGCCCTCGGAACCGAATGCCAGCCCTGGAGGATATGGTACTCCCCACTTGACACCATGGGCTTGCCACTTTAAACTTGGGGTAGCTGCAGGTTCGACTGGAACCTAGGCCCTTATAGGCCCGGGGCTAGACTCCGGGTCAAGTCCATCCAATTCCATCGCCGAGCGAACACCTTAATTTTTTGGTTCTCGTCCGATAACCTGACGGTTCTCTGGGGGGGAAAGGCCCTTTAACCATAGTATCCTCTTGACGATTACGTCTCCATAAGTTTTGCCAGAAGAGAGGAACGAAAGGCGTACTTTTCAAGACATATAGACCATCGGGGCTTAGGAGCATTCAGGATTCGGCTGGTTCCTCAAACGAGACCGGTGCTAAATACCTCGACGAATTCCATGTCGCGATCGACGAGTCACAATTCAATGCGAAATGAATAGATATCAAAAAAATTCTTACAGTAACAAAGGGGGCATACGAGAAACAAATGGCAGATATGAGTTTGGTGGTTGATGGAACGATCGGTGGACGACTCCCGGAATTGGCGAGGCTTGGATAACAGACCCATGGGTCGAGAGTGCTGGAACTACGCTCTTGGGCGTACTCCGAAGTAAAGAATTCAGCAGCGAAATTTAATTTCACCAAATT